TGCATGGTCGCACGGGGCCATAAGGCGCCATGGCGAGCGACGATAGGCAAGCCCGCCCGCACGCGTGAATCCGGTACAGTATAAGCAGAAAAAAACCACGGCGCGGATCACCCACCCTGTAGATGTAAAGCAACTGAGCACTGAAAGGGTTTCTGTAAAGAACGAGTACCAGTATTCACACAAAATTAATTTTGTGTTTTCTTTCCTCCTTGTTTCAATCTAACGTATTACTTGCTGGCTTCACGGTATGATTCGTTTTCTCGAAGTCCTCCGAAGGCGAGGGAGAGTGACATACCCCGGCATCTGTACATTTAGTAAAAATTGAGAGAGTAAAATGAAACAGTGTTTTTGATACAGGAAAAACCAAAACCTATTAACTTTTCACTGAAGTACAGTTCATCATCTGATTTCATGTGGTGTGCAACAATAACAGTTAATTGGTATCAAGACTCAAACTCAACATACACACAAACACACAAAACATAAAACCTTGCGAGAATATTCCTATGTTATATGCAGAAAGCGTTAGCACCTGGTTGGTCCTTTCAAGTCGGTGTGTATTTGAAGCTTTCACACCACATGCTTCAACCATATCTTATAAGCAAAAGCTGATGAAACTTTAGTATGATTGGAAGGAGTACAAAGGCATAGGGAGTTAAACATTATGATTTCGTTATTTTCATATATTTTGAATTAGCAATCGGTTGGGTAGGTTTGACAGTAGAGGAAAGGTTAAACAGATTTGGCATAGATAAGTAGGGATTATGAAGTGGACTCCTCTTTTTCATCAGAGAATGGGTTTTACAGGGATTGCTTGATTCTCTCCTCAAGAGAAGAACACTAGTAGGTTTAGTATTTTTGCTTGCTGTTCTGGCATTACTCTCAACTAAAATATTAACACTACCACTCAGTCTTCGAGAAGACACAAGAGACATGCGAGCCTTCACAACTGTACCATGCTCAGGATTTGACATACTTTCTATATCACTTGTGGATTTGCTAGGAGGCACTGGGGCTCGTAACTTTTTATAGCGTCCTGCACGGGCTGCTTTATCCTTAAAATCTTGGCTATCATCACACAGTGTGTCAGATAAAAAAATTGACTCTGAACCATCTGCTTTTTCAACGTTAAGTGAAGGTTGGCACATTGAGATGGAATCATTAGGACCTTCATTTCCTTTTGAAATATTTTTCTTGATCATCTCGTCATTGTCTTTCAGAAATCTCATTTGGTTTGTTTTTGTCACAATACTATCAGAAACTTTTGTATATAGAGGACTTCCACTTGGAGTTTGGGAGGAAAGTATTTTGTTTATGTCTCCTTTTCTTGATGACAGCAAGGATTTAATTTCAGATAACATGGAATGGGATAGGAAAGGAGATTGAGAGGGTACTCCATCCTTTGAAATATCTAACTCGTCCACCAATGATGCCACTCCCTTGAAGAAAAAAAAAGAACAGAATTGTCTGAAACCATCTTGACAAAATTTGAGTCCAGGAGAGATTGAAAGGATCCATAGTTAAAGAAAAGTTTTAAAAAAGACTTTTTTTTACCCCTAAATGTTCCTGATTAAGTTGAATTCATGCACTTATTGTACAGGCATAAGAAGAGTAGATGAGTTACTGATGAGATTTTACCAAACATCCAGCATCCCTCATGAAACTTTAAATAAAATTACCGTGATAATAAAAGGAAGCTAAGCACATGAATCCAGAGTAAAGATATATTTATTTAAACTGGCTATCACATGACAAGTTTGTGGAGACTTACCTCAGAGCTCCTGTTAGAGGAAGAATTACCACTGTAGATTGGCCTCCTTGATTTAATATGTGCGGATCGTAAGAATATATCCTCTAAGGTATGGTCACTGGTTGGAGAATTCCCTTGAGATGAACTAAACAAATGGTCGGCGCTGGAATACCCAGAACTCACATCTTCCATTGATTGAGGCAGGCTGTTAAGAAATAAACAACACACATTAGAACACAAAGGAGAATTTTGGAAGAACAGTAAATAGATTAGTATTTAGTTCTGTATAAAAGCGTAACTGACCATACAGCATTTGGTCTATCTCCCTTCCCTCTCTGCTTTAAATCTAAGTCCACCTCAGAGAAGTATATTTCCATTGGACTAGATACTGAACCAGACCGCTGACCAGGATGTACATAGGATCTCCTCATGTATTGTAGATCTGGATAAACATGGACTTCACAGAAAATATGGTAGATTTGTATTACAATGAAAAAATAATTTAAAACTGACAAACCTCCACTATGGTCCGCAACATCTTGTTCCTCCTGGAGGCTTCCCAAGCCTATAGCCCTGTACTTCAACTCATCTTGGGAGTCTGATAAATCAGACAAACTGTAGCTCTTTCGCAATTGGTTCATAAGCCCTCCGCCACCCTGTTCCCATTCAAAAAATGTTTACTGACAGTGTCACGAAATGCTACCTCAAAAATTGGAAGTAGAAAAAAAGTTGAATTAGGTAATGTGTTGCATGCTTTGTAAAAGTAAACATAGACAGTAACAGGCAATGGTCTCCATCTATGGAGAGTTAGTGAGGTGCAAAGCATTTTCACAAGTGCCTAGCAGCAACGCAAATGGCTGTGTTACACCCATCAAAACGTGAAAATCAATTGAAGAAACATGCAAGGTTTTTTAAGAATCAGTTAAAAACATTTAACTTTAAAGAACTAAATCATTATTTATTCATTTTTATTAAAGACACATTTAACATTTCAAATTATTTAGCACAAGAAAGATTTAACTAAACTTGACAATTTTACAAAAGATGCTGAACAGCAATGCAGTACTTACAACATCATAATAAAAACCACCTAAGAACAGAATGATATTTATGAAAAAATTATGTATGTATCTTTATGCTAAGAGTGGTCGTGGTCAGTCATAAATAATTAGTAACTCACTGAGCCTTTAAAGCTCAACTTACAATGTTTATCAACAGTTGCATATTCACTGGTCTTAATACTAAAAGGCACATATTACAGGATCAAACAGTACAGACTGGAAAATGTTACAGTATAGCTCACTCGTGAAGAATGAGGAGATGTAAGCATTCCTGATTCAATCTATTTGACGATCAATTGAGATCAACTTTAAATATCAGTCGAATGCAAAAACCTATACATTTTGAAAATCATAATCTTCAAAATAAATCCCTAAAACATAACTTATCACATTTCAAACTAGATGAATAATTCAACTTCAAGTTTATGAAATACAAAATTTTTTGTGCAGCTTTGCTGCAAAATGAGACCATTAAAACCACAAATTAAGGGTAAAAAAAGGGATATAGATCAGTCTTTAGATTAAAAACAGCAATTTTCAAATCCTTCCTTAAGATAAGTATTTCTACCAAACAATCCAAAGGAAAACAAAAATTTTCATGAATGATATGACTGACGTTCTAGGAATTTGACTGGAAAATTCTAAGCAAAACCATAAAATAATGAATAATTATGAGTCATCCATATCTTCGTCATCAATCTGATTAGTTTTGACTTGTTTCCGGCTCCTAGCACTACGTCGTATACGTCGAGCGCGAGGGGCTTTCTCTTCTTCCACTAGATCGTGTTCATGTTCAAGTTCCTCAGGCTCCTCCTTCACGAGTGCTGGCGGGATGTAGTCTGCATCATCATCGTCAGAGTATTGGAAACCATCGGCATTCTCCAATTGCTGCATAGCTAGTTGGTAAAATCCATTGGAATACCCAGGCTCAGGAACTCGCCCATTACTTATATTTTCTCTTCCATCAACATCAGTCCTTGACAAAGGTTCAGGAGCAACGGCTGGTAATCTTTCTAACACAGCTGTATTTTGCAGGCCCTACAGATACCAGAGGCAAGGGAAAGAGAAACAAAAAGGCACATTCAAGTTAAGTGCGAAACTCGTGAGTTACAAACATAATGTGATAGCGTACTGTGACTCCAATCAAAATTTGTTATAACATTTGTTAAACAGAAAGTCACGAATGGTAAAAGGGATTGGTAAGAGTAGTGACAAAGTGGGAAACAGTTAATTAAAATCTAGTCTTTCATTCCAAAAGCAGTTATTTTTAACTGGAGGTTCAAAGAAAAGCTACAAGTGGATTAAGGGGGTTTTAAGCGGTGTTGTGAGCTTATTTTCTCACCATTGAGCACCTTTACATGCAATTCAGCTACAGCGAGCCAGTACCAAAAAAGACAGTGGGATTTGGTTAATATTAGAGTGAAAGAACTTACCTTAATTGCTGTTTGCATCAAAATGTATTTAGCATAGTCAACTCCCCGAGCTCCAAGCTTTAATATTGTGCTGTAACCCTGGACCTTGGCATTTTTTATTGCCTCATCAATTTCCTGCCAAAAAAATTCACATTAAATTCAAGCTTGAGCTTGACAAGAGGTCATAGACTTAAAGGTTTAAGATGAAACGTACCTTCTCTTTCTTTGTGAAGGTAGGATGCACAAACTTGCGATATATTATACTAGACCCCTTAGTGGCGGGAGCAAGAAGCCATAGAACTACAATTATTTTTATTTCATAATAAAATGGAAACCTGCATTTCAAAAAAAATAAAAAATAAAAAAAGGAAGCAATTTAATATCATTCCACAGACAAGAAATAATACATACGAGAAAAAATAAACCACTCACCAAAAGCTGAGAAGAACATCGGTAAATGTCTCGGCGCACGTGAAGAGTGCGAACACTATCCAGTACATCATCCATTTCACCTGAAACACAGACAGTGTGAGTGCAATGCCCTGCACAGACTGTTCGTACGCACCACTACTACTACTACAACCTCTGCCCCCTCCCCTCCCCTCCCCCAATCTACTCTCAGCTCCACTTGGCTGGCGGCCAGCTCACTGCACCCCAACAGGCGGAAGGGCCGGGCAACACACCACGCAGCACACGCAGGTCACAAAGAGCACCGTGCTCGAGATGCCGCCTGCTCCACCGCCAAGCGATTCTCGACTCTGCCCTTTCGCGGCCGACCCGCCGTGTCACTCCCCTCGACTCCGACGGCAAACTTGTCGCGCGCAAACCCAGTAGGCCAACCCGCAACACTGCACTGAAAACGAAAGTGTGCAACTAGCATGCACATGGCAGTTTTAAACTCTTTGTTGCACAGTCTTATGTGTTGGACTGAAAATTTGGATACTTAAAAGCGTTCAAACGGTAAATTTGAACACTTTAAAGTGTCCAAGTGCTTGAACAATTTTAAGTGTTCGACTTTACTGTTCCGCAGTTTTTAGATTTCAAATGTCCACCGTTAAACACTTAAAAGTGTGCAACGCAGTGTAGTGTTGAGCACTTGCGTGTGCACGCCAGTTGCACCCTTTAGTCATCAGTGTGTTGTGCGCGGCAACCCTGCCCTGACACATGGTACGGACTTGCCCGTCGAACAGACGAACGCACACCATGGAAACGAGGACTTCGCCTCTACTCTGGAACTTCCCCCAACACAACGCCAGCCTCCTCGACGACATGACGCAGGACATACTCACATACTCCTTGACGTCCTTGGTGCGGACCGCCTTGTAGGAGGCGTAGGCCGGGTAGAGCGTGCCGAACAGCAATCTGCAAGCAGAGTGTAAACGAGCACGCGTGAGTCTCTGACGAGCATCTCTGACATCACCTCAGCCGCGCCCGTGGGCCCGTGGCAGAGTGTAAACGAGCACGCGTGAGTCTCTGACAAGCATCTCTGACATCACCTCAGCCGCGCCCGTGGGCCCGTGGCAGAGTGTAAACGAGCACGCGTGAGTCTCTG